TATATATATATATATATATATATATATAGAAGAAGAAGAATTGTGAAAATAAAAGAACCATATGGGTGTCGCAAGCAGACGGCATACATAATGGACGCATAGCGCATGTCCTTGCGGTTACTCATCATCAGAAAACTTCGTAAAAACGATCCCATGTCTTAGCATGATCCAGCGTGAAAAGTGTATCCCATAACAGAGTATCCCTCTTTATGAAACTCACAAAGTTTCGATTTTTTTTTCTGTTTTCTTATATCCACACCACACCTCGCAAAGTATATAAAAATAGAAAGAGAAAGATGTAAATCCAGATATAGCAAATCCCGAAAGAAGGAAGAAAAGAAGCACTTGATTGTAATTTAACGGGATATTTTCGCCTCTAGTACTGATGACCATCCTGCCAACCCCCTCCTCATTCCCCGCTTTAGAGATGAAAATACATCAAATCCCCACCATAGGTGAGAAGTGGACGCAAGGGGTGCGACGAAAGGCTCCGTGGAAACAGATTTGACGCTGCCCCGCCTTCGGTTTGGCAGGTCGACGGGCGAACCCGCCCCTCGATGAGGTTTTGACCTTTGGGGTTGAATGCGGCGTAGCTGCCGTCGCTGAAGCCGAGCCCGATAAGCCCCGTATACAACCCCACCTCCCCGCAGCTGATCGAAGGAAGCGGGGCGGAGAGCGGCCCCTTCCCCTTCCCCTCCCCCTCCCCCCCGAGCAGCAGCTCCCGCACGCCCATTCGCAGCGTGGGCGTGTTCAGCTTCCGCGTATCGAACACGCAGAGCGCGCTGGACGTCATGGTGGCGATGCGGAAGGTGGTGGAGGCCGCCGTCGCGATCGGGCCGACGCCGAGGACGGCCTCCCGCTCCCGCTCGCCGGCCGGCAGGGAGGCCACAACGCTGACCCCGCCCTGCATCCGCCGGTCGTCGTAGTAGCGCACGACGCCGTCGCTGAAGCCCGCAAAAAGCGCGCGCTGGGAGGTGTGGGCGGTGAGGCAGCTCAGCGTGGGGTTCCCAGGCACCACCATGCGTTGCGTGACCTGCTCCTCGCCGACGCGGAAGCCGTGGATCTCCGTCATCCCGCCCGCCCCGATCGCGCCGCCGTAAAAGAGCGTCATCGTCCGGCCGTGGTAGACCGTCTTGAGGTCGATCCAGGCCCCGGACGGCGGCGGCAGGCAGGCGGTGAAGACCGCGGCCTCCGTCGGCGTCGCGTCCCGCTCCAGCACCCCTTTAAGCAGCGTAAAGCCCCCGCGCTTGTTCACCAAGAGCAGCCCGGAGTGCTCAGAAAGGTCGTTGATGACGAGAAGGTCGTGGATCGGCCCGGCGAGGCGCGGCACGAAGCTGTTCTGCACCGTCAGGGTGTTGTAGCCCTCGTAGGAGACGTACATCACCCGCTGGTCTCTGGTTGCCATGACAAAGGACATCTCCAGCGTGCGGGGGGCCGTGCAGATCACCATGTCTGACCGCACGAGGCTGGGAAAGATTTGATACCGCGAGCCGGACCCGAGCAGCGTGCGAATCGGCCGCGTCGGGCCGGACAACAACGCCGAGACCCCGCCTTCCACGACCTCGATCACCCCGTCACCCCCCCCTGCCGTCGCCGTCTCCTTCAGGCCGCGCGGGGGGGAGGGGGGGGAGCTGAGCGACCCGGGCCGAGGCTCCAACCGCCGCCCGCTATTATCCAGCGCGAGAAGCCGCATCATGTCGGCATTCCACCGCGCCCGCGCGCGATCCGCCTCGGTGAAGTAATAGGAGGAGGAGAGCGAGGGCAGATGCGCCATCGTCCGAAGCGCCTCGGACGCAAAACGCGCGGACTCCGGGGCCGTCCCTGTGGAAAGCTTCGAAAGCGCCCGCTCCACCTTTGCCCCATCGCAGTTGCGGTAGAGCTCCCAAAGCATAAACGCGGCGTCGTGCACGAGCCCAAGCAGGATCTCCATCGCCTCCTCGACGATCAGCGCGGGGTCGAGCTCCTCCGGCGTCGGCACAGGGTCATCCGCGGTGAGCACCGTCGTCTTAAAAACGATTTTGTCATCAAAAATGGCGTTGAGGGTCGGGCGGTTGAGGTTGAGCAAGGAATGAACCTGCACCCCGGGCTCCTCAAGCTCCCACCGCGGCGAGTCCTTCCCCACCGCCCGCACGTAGGCCTCAATCTCGTGAATCGAAAGGTCCTCGACCCCGGGGACTCGCATGCGCGGTAGGACGCTGCGGTAGACGTAGATCATCTGGCAGGCAAAAAAAATCAGCTCCCCGCGCACGCTCATGCTCGCGTCGAAGAGGATCTGCCGAAGTTTAATAATCACCGACTTCTCCATTTGCAGGCGGCGGACCTGCTGATCGGGCGGGAGGAGGTCCACCCGGACGCCGACCACACTCGCGATCAACGTCACGCAGGAGCTTCGGACGACGGGCGAGCGGTCGCGTAGATGCCGCGAGAAGAGATCCAACCGCGAGGCGCACTCGCGCGAGGCGAAGTTCTTCGCGTGCCGTAGGCCCCGAAACAACATCGAAAGCACCAAACACGCCCACGACTGCAGCTCCACATCGTCGTGGCTCAGGCAAGGGAAGGCGGCGTTCAGCAGGTGGTGATTCCAGCAGAGAAGGCATTGATCCCTGCCGCGGAGCAGATACTGGTAAAGGATATAGCAGACCATACTCTTCGACCGCGGCAGGCTGACGTCGTTCATGAGGTAATAGGTGACCCCTTTGGTCAGGTGAGGGGACGGGGCCGTCTTGCCGCTCGCCTGGGGGGAGCGTAGGGCGGACGCCAGCCCGGCGGCCCGCGCGCTCGACGGCTGAAGCGCGGGCTCGATCGGGGAAAAGACCACCCGCTGTGGTAGGAGCTGCCCGGAGGTGTCGACCTCCGCCTCGTGCAGGGCCGCGTTCCCCCGCGCCGCCTCCGCGGTGTGATCAACCCGCTTCCCGTACTCCACCATCTCGATCGTCGTGGTCGCCTCGTCCAGGCGGAGAAGACTCGTGAAGTAGCTCTCCGTCTTGCTCCGGCTGATCTCCTCGCAGCCTTCGAGCGGGTCGGCGCGAATCACCTGCATCCAGACGACGGTCACGATAAGAAGCACCTCCGGGACCTGCGCGATCAGCCTGCTGAGGTAGGGGAGAATCCCGCACAGGGTCGCGAGCCGCCCGGCCGCGAGGCTGGAATCCAAATACTTCGCGAGCAGCGTGAAGGCGCGCACGCGGTGGTGGACTTGGGTGAGCGCGAACAACACGCACGGCAGCTGCTGCGGCGTCTGGGTCATATCCCCGTAGTGCACCCACACCTCGAAAGCCAGGAGCTGGTCGTCGAAGAAGGAGGACTCCTGATAGCGCACGCCCGGCGTGGCCTTCGGGCGGGTCGAAGGGGCCGCCATCAGCCCCGGCAGCTGGGCAATCGTCCGCTCCAGGACGCAATCCCAGAGCTCCCACATCGGGTGTAGGTGCATCTCCTCCGCGAGGGCGGGGTAGGTGATGGGGATGACCCCAGTCTCGCGCATCAGGCGGTCTGCCAGGATCGCATTACGGAAGATCGCCCGGGTGCGGGGGTCGTGGCGGAAGAGGTAGTGAAATTGCGAGGGCGGCAACGTGCACCACGCGATGGTGGTGGTGACCGCGTTCAGAACCCAATTCAGGTCGCCGCGGGGGCTCCGACGGTCGCTGAGGTCGCCCGGAAGGTTGCGAATCATCTCCTCGGTTACCTGCGGAAGGAGCATCTTGTGGTGCGAGTAGCCGATATACCACCAAAGCACCATCTTCAACGGCGTCGTCAGGCAAGAGGTGAGCATGTCAGCAGGGAGGACGGGGTTCAGCGGCAGCGTCTCGTGCGCATCACACGCACAGATAAACAAGTCGTGCGGACGCTTCTCGTGCAGAAGGTTCTTTTGCCAATGCCGAAGAATCGCCCCAGCAGCATTGCAGTCGAAGATGTAAAGAGTCGGTGTCCCTATCAGATCCGAAATATCCGTGATATTAAACGGGACGTAATGGGTGTGATCGGAATCAAAGACCCATACCTCGCCGAGGTCCGTCGCGCGAGGCATCCCATGACCGTTGTAGTGAACCAGAACTCGACCATCCCGCGTGAGGTTGCGCGCCTTGCCAAGCATCATGCTTGCCACCTCAATGTTCGCCTCCACGACGCGCGAGATGGGGATATCCTCGCGCAAAACCGAGCGGTATTGAGATTCGAGCACTTCGGCAATGGCCTCACTGCAGCTGCCGCCTGCTCGCCGAGAGCCCTGCGCGACCAGCGGATCGATCCAGCACTCCAACGTCGTGCAGGGGTTGATTCGCGGGTAGTCGGGAGGCCCACTGCAGGTGTGAAGGTACATAAACAAAATAGCGCGCGTAAGACGTATCGGGAGCTGGGAGGAGACACTGGTATCTACCGCGGGTGCCTCACCCGCGCTGGTACCGAAATTAGTCTCGCAACTATGATCACAAAGCAAACATGGCAAAACGTTGGGTGCAAAGGCTACCATCAGGTCCTCCAGCATCGAACTTAGTTCTTTCTTATCCACACGAGAACTACTTATTAGTGGCAGCCGCGATGTCGAACCTGCAGTGGCGGTAGATGCGCTACCATCGGAAAAGGCAGTCGTGTGAGCCGCGCCGTCCTGCGTGTTACGATTTCTCCTCCTTGTTAGCATTAAGACTCACTGATGATATATTTTTTAAGAACTTTATAGACCTATACGCGTATTATAACCTTCCGAAGCCGTTAGAATTCGAAAGATTACCTTGCAAAATCGTAAAAAAAAATGAAGTTTTGATGCGTTTTATCTTGACATAAACTCTCAAGAAAGAGCCAGTTGGGTAACAACGCCAGTAGAGGGGGGAGGGGGGAGGGAGGGGGGAAGGGAATGTAGGGGGTTAGATATGAAGCTTTTTATCCTCCTTTTCTGCAATTTGAATTACAGTTGAGAAGTGTTGAAAAGCTATGCAAAAAAAAAAAGCCTACTCTTAATGCAGGAAGTGCCTCAACATAGAGAAATCTTTAGGGACCTGATCAACTGATCCTTATGCGTCGTTTGCTTTTTCTAATATATGCATCTGAATCTATTGTTTTTTATATCCGTATAAATAAATAAAAGAAAAAGCATTCGAAGAAAGGGTAAATGATTTGCAGCCATAATTCAGACCTCTCAAATAAAAATACACGTCAGCAAATTTGACGGCATATATACATATTGATATATGCATATATGACAAGAATGAACTGCCAAAAGTGTTAAACGTAAAAGCAAAAGATATTAAACTAGCATCATGTATCCTCTCATTAATTATTTTTTTTAGAACGGAAAATTGTTTTTAATTCGATTGAGCTTAACGGTGTTATTATTTAAACTGTTAAAGCATAACAACTATTTAATAAACAGACAAACCGAGAGGTAAGCATGACACCAGGGTGGTTTCCTTTCGACTCCTCCTGCACGCACACACATAAGGTTGTACGGAAAGGAAACACAAAAATGTCCCGACCAGAAATAGAACCTGCGCGAGCCCCTTGATTCTATACACTAAAGGAAGATACCAAGAATCGTAATGGAAGAAAAAAAATTGTGCTGCGTCACTTCATCTGGGATGTGTATATGTTCACAATGTACACCTCACAGAAAAACTGTAATTAGAAACACAAGCTGAAAAAGGCACGAAATGGTGCTCGTTTCTGAGCTAATTTTCTGAATATCAAGATCCATATACACACACACATACCCCTTAGTGTTTATATTATACACATAGACAAAGAAGGCTGCGTAGCAGAATCAGATGTAATGTTGCTTTTGATCTCTTCCCATCCCGCGTCTATGAGTATCAAAAGCGATCGATATCCATTTTATGAGGTCTTCAGCACGACGCGGATACCAATGCTTGTGAGCTCCGACGCCCACAGCCTCAGCACCTGCGGGATCTCCACCATGGCGATCTTATCCGTCCCTTCGTCGGTGCCCGCCCCGCAGAATCGGCAGGTCTTCCACGTGGCGTACTCCGACGCGTAGCGCTCGTAGATCGAGAGCAGCCCGCCGCAGTGGACGCAGATAAAGGCCCTGGTCTTGTCCGAGACGTGCATAAGACGGTCCACCACAACCTCGCTCGCGCCGTGGGAGAGGAGGCCGTCGCGCTCCATCTCCCCCACGCGAACCCCGCCGTGGCGTTTGCGCCCTTTCACCGGCTGCCCGGTTTTGGTGACGGCGCGGTGGGTGTGGGCGTCGGTGCGGGCGCGGGCCTGCCATTTGTCGTTCACCATATGCCGCAGCCGCTGATAGCCCGCGACCCCGACAAAGACGTCCGCCTCCATCGCCTCGCCGCTGACCCCGTCCACGAGGGACTCCCGGCCGTGGCGGCTGAAGCCCGCGCGGGCGAGGGCCTCGCCGATCGCCTCGGCCGCCCGGGGCCGCTCCCCGGCCAGCGCCCACGCGCTGTTGTCCACAAACCGCCCTTCCAGCGCCGCGAGCTTCCCCGTGAGCATCTCCAGCACCATCCCGACGGTCATGCGGGAGGGGAAGGCGTGGGGGTTGATGATCACGTCCGGCGTGAGGCCGCCGCGGGTGGTGAAAGGGAGGTCGTGCGCGCGGATCTGCAGCGGCAGCGTCCCTTTTTGGCCGTGGCGGGAGGCGAACTTGTCCCCGACCGCCGGGGGCCGCGGGATGCGGAAGATCAGCATCGCGCTCACCGGGTCCGGCCCGTCGTAGGCCAGGGGGACCACCCGATCCACCCACCCCCGCTCGCCCCGGTCGAAGTGCTGCCACTTCGTCGTCTGGTGGTGGGTGTAGACGTACTCGACGCGGTTCGTCAGGGGGTTCGCCCGGGCAACCCGCTTCGCGCAGCAGTACACCGGCGTGGGATCGCCCAACGAGGGGTGGGCGTGGTCGGCGAGATCGAAGCCGGCGGCGTCGGGGATCGCGCGGGGCAGCGGCAGCCCGTTCGGCTGCAACTCCGCGCTAAAACACTCCCCGCGCTCGACGTCGACGAGGTTGTGGAAGACAAAAAGGTCGTCCTTCTCGCCCCGGCCCGAGGCGTGGACGATCTTGGCGATCGTCACCCCGGCGTTCAACATCCCGCGCTGCGAGGCGGTGCTGTTCAAAATCACCGCGTCGTCCATATCAAAGCCGGTGTAGGCCAAAATCGCCACCACCGCGTTCACGCCGAGGTTGACATCGTCGAGGTCGAAGTAATCCATGGGAAGGGTCCGTGAAAGGTATCGCTGCGGGGTGTACATGCGGAATAACTTCGCCTCCTTCCGCCAGCTCATCGCCTGCAGCTGCGTGCCCGCCGATTGTTTGCTGAGGCCGCACTGAAATAAATTTCGCGGCGAGCAGTTGTACTCGAAGAAAGGGATCGTCGCGCTGGTCAGGGAAAGGATGTTGCTCCCGGACTGCTCCATGTAGATGAACTTGCGATTAAGCTGCGTGACCGCGTCGAGGAGATCGCTCGGGACGCTGGCAATATCCAGCCAGGTTTGCTCCCACGTCCCTACATAAACCAGCGGGAAGGCGAGCGCCTTCTCGGACGGCGCCACCGCAGACCCCGACGATTCCGTTTCGATGCGCTGGACCGGGCGCATGAGGCGGCCGCCGCCGTAAAAGAGATAAAGCCCGGCCGGATCCTTCTCACCGGGCGCCACGTAAACCACCTCCAAGGTGTGTAAAACGGACACATCGCGGCGGCGGGTGAGGCCGTTCGCGTCGATGAGTGCGCGCCGCGTAATGGTTTTACGGAGCCGCAGCTCCTCGGCCGCGTGAAGGGCCTCGGCGGCGGTGGCGTAGCCCCGCAGTTCGCCCTCCACCCACACCGGCACCGTCGCCAGGAGGCGATCGAGAAGGGAAACCTGCCCGCGACGGCTCCGCAGGTTCGGCAAAACCTCCCCCACCCACGCCTCGATCTGCCGCCGCGGGGCGGAATCGGGCGATACGTCAAAGGCCTCCGCGGCGATGGTGGAAATGCTGAGGTGGTTGAGCACGCCGCAGTCCTCCCCGTCGGGGCTGTGCACCATGCAGATAAAGCCGAAGGACTCACAAGGGTACTTCCGCACCTCGCTCGAGCGCATCCCGGCGATGGTTCGGCCGCGGTGCACGCAGCGGAGCTGCTCAAAAAAGCGGTAAAAATTAAGGTGCTCCGCCATCACGACCCATCCACTGGTTTGCGGGTAGTAAAAGTCCTCCTCGCGGTCGAGGTTGAGGTTGCCGGTGATGAAAAAGCGGTGGAGCGGCTCAAGCGGGTCGGTGGCGCTATGCCGAGCGGCGTAGCCCGTGTACTCCCGCAGCTGCCGCATCACCTCCCCCGCCCTTCCCGTTTTCGTCCCTCCCAAGACGGTGTGAAGTAGGCTCTCCGGCAGGTGGCGACCGAAGTGAAGCGCGAAGACCCTGAAAAAGCGGTTCAGACAGACCTCAAAGGCCCCCATAAGGACCTGCGAGATGCTGAAAAGCTCCTGGTAGGCCGGGGAGTCGTTCCCCTGGTGTGCGGACTGCCCGCCAACAAAGCAATAAAGCTGGCGGGTGATGGCGATGAGGGCGTCGAACTTGCGGTCGAGCTCGTCGAGGAGGCCGCGCGGGAGCCAACGGCGCAGCGCCGCGGCGTCCGCCTCGGGCGCGAGGTCCGGCGTCGGGACGTCACCGTTGAGGTGCGGGAGGAGGTGGCGGCGGAGAAGAAAAACCCCATACCAGGCGTCATGCTGCGGGAGCCTCTCCCCGCCCCGCACGAACTGCGGGAGAAAGTGAAAGGCGTTGGAGTTTTGGTGGTACCCGCGGTACATCCGCCCGAGCACGGTGATGAAGTCGAGGTAATTCGTTAACCCGCTGTAGGGCTTCTTTAGGTGCTGCTGAATCAAAACCTCGACGCGCGCGAGGTGGTGGTCCTCGGGCATCCCGATCGTCAGGAATCGGTAAAGCTCCACGGTGGAGATGCATTGGGTGCTGGTGGCGAGCAGAAGTAGGGGAAGTGGGATATGCCAGATCACCTTCCGCGCGAAGCTGAAGACGATCTCCCCGACGGAGGTATAATAAAAGTAGTTCTGCACCGTGATCCCACTGGGGCGCTTGCTGCGGATCAGCACGGCCTTCGATAAGAAATTCGGCCCCTGCTGCTCAAACCGATCGCGCTCGATGTTGATAGCGATGTTGCTGCGCTGCATGAGAAGCAGGCGGAGAATTCGCTCGTTCCCGTTGACCACGAAGTACCCTCCGATCTCCTTCTGCTCCTCCAGGGCCCTGAAGTGGTCGAGCCGGGCGTGCACGCCGCGCAGGACGCACCGAGTGCCTTTTACCATCTCGGGGAACTCCCCCCAGGCCATCCAAAGCTCATCCCTGCTGGGGGCGAGGTAGGCATAGCGCTGGTGGGCCTCCTCCGGGAGGCTCCGCGAGGCGATTAACGACGCGAACTGCGGGGTCATCGTAAAGACCCGCCGCGAGGGGCCGGAGGGGGCGGCGAAGTGGAGGGCGATGCGGAGGTGGCAGGGCTGGCCGTAGGTCTCCGCGTAGCGCCGGTGGTACTGCGGCGAGGCAAAAGGAAGACAGGCGTGGAGGGTCGTGTCGTAGATGCGCCGCGCCTCCTCGACGATCTCCATCTCTTTTAAGGACTTCGTCTGCAGAAGGACGTTGAGGTCATAATCCCCGGAGGCAGCGGCGCCAAAGATGTCGTCCTCCTCAGTTTCCCAGCGGCCTTGCATCTGGGAAAGCTCGTTAAGGGAGGAGCGAATGCGATCGAGCATCACCGTGTACGCCTGGAATTGGCTTTCCGTGTTTGCAGCAGCTCGGAGGTCAGAGCCGCTGCTGGGGTAGAGCCCTTCTAGGGCCTTGTGGGCAATGACGATGCGGTTTTCGACTTTTTGGATACTCATCTTCGCGTGTTCCAGCACCATCCGCGCGCTTTTAGTTGGACGTACGCCCACGGCGACGTCGAGAAGCATTACGGAGAAAACTCCCGCAGGGCTTGCGCGCTGCGAGGACTCGCTCATCACGGGAGCACTGTAAAAGACGCCTTCATTAAGCATCTCCTGTATCATCGCAAGGAGGTGGACGTTGGTAAACGCGTCGTAATCGTTGATGTGGATTGCAACCTGGTCTTGAAGAAGACCAGTATGAATGCGCGTGAACATCTCCCCTGGTTTGTGGCTGAGCAGCTCCTCCAGTTCACGAAGGTTGTCAAGGGCATTCGAGACAAGACCGTGCTTAAGGCCCTTGTAGACGTGCTCGGCCTCTGAGCTCTTCCGTGGGCTGGTCGCATCCAACGCCCTTTCTGCTAATTTTTGTATACTCAACACCCCCTCATAAATCGCGCGCTGCTGGCTCGGCCCACCGGCCCCAGAGCGGCTGACGGTTTCGTGGTTATAAAACCACCGCGGTACGGCATGGCCGAGCTGCTCCCAAAACTCCTCGACGACCTCGCCACCGGCCTGGTCGAGGGTCGCCATGTGTAGGGCCCGCTCCAAGACGTCCTGCAGCCGCGTGAGGGCATTCCGAATGAGGCTAAGCCGCTCAAACGCCGTCATCCGCGTCGGCGCGATGCGCGGCTCCGTCAAGCTGGTATTCCGGCGTCGGTGGTTGCTGGAGGAGCGTGTGCCATGGCTCAGCGTGGCTGTATTCCCCGTAGAGGAAACGTACGACGGCGAACTTTTCACGGACGAATGGGATGACATCGACCCTCTCATGGGAAAGCCCTAGAGCGTCGCGCAGTCCCTTCTGACGACAAACCAATAATCACACACCAAAACACAAGGAGTGGTGGAAGAAATAAAGGAAAAAATGTCAATAAAATTTCCTTTAAAAAGTTATCGTTTATACGTTGATCGTCTTCAAAGAGAATCGGTTACTCTACTAACCTAGTTCTTTTTGTTGTGTGTGTGTGTGTTGTATGTGTGCTTGTGAAAAAGCTGCCTATCTTTCTTTTATTAGGTTAATCTTTAAAACCAAAAGAGACAAAAAAAGATACTGATAAAATTCTGCGTTAACCTTAGGATGATTTTTCAAATAAAATAGTTGCGTTCACTTTGAAGAAATATTTCATCACGTCTCTGTTTCTATTGAATACGCTAAAGCAACAATACACCAACTATTCAATGTATCAAACGATAGAAATGAAAAAAATATAAGTATTAATATACAAAGCAATGACAATCAAAGTTTGTGAGTCGTACAAAGACCATTAGCCTGTAGGTTTCCGCAAGTGCGCACAGCCCGACTTCCTTTTCTGGATTGCTATTTCACAGTATCAACACACCAAAATTGTATAAGAAGAGGGTCAATATGGTCGTTATCATAATGAAGCAAACGTTTATGATAACCCAGTTATATCGAATAAACACCCCGAACATGTAAGACATTCGTGGTATATCAATAAACAAGAACTTCAAAAATTTGCCGCCTTCAACCTCGTACATATGTTTCAATAGTTTTACCTGTCTTTCGGCGTCCATTTTCATACGAATCAATCGAAACAACGGCGCGTAGGACACAAAGGTCCGTCGGATGCCCTTTGACTTCATTTCGTCAATCACATCAATCGCCTTGAGGTAGTCGTCGTTGAGGCAATAGACTCGGATTATCTGGTTAGCGAGCTCGCGCTGCACTATTTTAGGCTGCGCGGACGAACAATCCATCAGCTCCTCATAGACCTCTTCGGCCTGAGCAACCGACATTTTGCCGCGCTCAACGTCGTAGCTCACCAAACTAAACAAAGGGACAAGATGATGCGCAGCAAGTGTAGAAAGGATGTGTTGGTGCTCACGCAGGCCGTTTTCGTGAAACCACAGCGTGTGCACAGAAGGGCGAACCTCTTTGTTCATTAAGTGCTTTTCCAGAAAATTATCCGCGTTGCGAATCCCGAGTGCAAACTGCGAAAGCGTGACCTCAATTTGCCGCTCAATCCGCTGTAGCGCGATGGCGTTCTCGATTTGAATAATCTGATCCATACGGTTGTAAAGAACGAGGGGCTGAGTTCCTGTAATGCCAATAGAACGAATGGGCATTTGCGGTCGCATGTTGCGAAAGTGATCGTATCCAGGTACAATCTTAGAAACACCACAAAGTATTTTAGTAGAAACTGGATAGCGCTCAATTCCCATCCATGGGTGGATATCCATGCGGCCACGCCGAAAAATACAGCTTATCCTAGTGCACATGGCATATTATCGGTTCTTAAAATAAATAAAAAGAAAATCCTGAAAGGTGTAAAGCAAAGTTCAATAACACATAGCAATAGGTACATAAATCTGAAAATTTACCCATAAAAAATAAAGCCTAAGGGTTACAAAATGAGTCCATCCACAGAATTTAACCAAAAGTTTCATCTTTTTTTTTTAGAGGGGGGCAAGGAATGGAGAAGATATCCGCCTCCAACCTCTTAACTTTGTTTCGAGGATGGCACCTTAATGTTCAGTATTTCTTCCTCAATCCCTGTTGCTAACTGCTCCGCCTCTCCATAGCACTCCACCATCCGCTTTCCAAGCCTGCCGCTCTCCGAAGAGACCTGGCTAATCAAACGGTCCAGCTCTGCCACCGGGACATCCACAATTTCCCCACCCATGTTGACCCCACCACCCAGTTCGACAACCGCTGCTTTGAGCTGCTGAAAGCTCTGCTGTACCGCGGCGGCGATGGCCCCCACCCGCCGCTGCTCAACTCCCTGCTCCCACTCCAGGCGTTGCCTTAGGGTGTCAGGGATGTCCGCCGTGGGCGCCCCAAGGCCCAGTTCACTTTCCGGCAAGGCATCCTCCAAGGTCACCTGCAGACCATCGCGCATCCGCTCAACGCACAGGGCAAGCAGCTGCTCAGCTACGACAATTGGAGCCGTCATCGAGGAGAGTAGGATCTTGGAATGTGCGGCCCCGAGACGTTCTTGACGGCTCGATCGCTTTGTCTGGAAAAAAAAAAGGGAAGAAAACGAGTGCTAATAATTAAATTTCATGAGCGCGCATTAATAAATGAAAAATAAACAAATAAAGTAAAAACGCTTGTCAGGGTAAAAAGAGTTACAGGCATGCATTGTGTGCGCAAGATATGAGGCCATTCCCATCAGCCTTTGAATCTGAAACCAATAGAGTACTGAGTGCATTCTACAGACATAAATCTTCAGAAAGCATCCATGATGTATAATCAAAGAGACAAAAGAGAGAAAAATGGGAGTCGAAATAAAATAATGTAAGAGCAGAAATATTTCCTTTGAGGAATGTAACTTCGCGCCCACATCACTGGCATCGCCACGTTCTCCTCCCCTTTTCCACTACGACAGGGAAAATTTCATTACGGTCCACCCTCACCTCATCCCTGTAATAGCGGAGAAAGCTATCACTTAATATTTCTCTACATAAGTATACACTTCTTCATCATATCCATTCTAAGCGCCATCTGCTCCTTACCTTTCAATTGCCGCATGCAATCGAGCTCCTGCACGACGGCGCGATTCACAGTCACCCCAGTTCTGGTAGCCACGTCGTCTTCACAATACTCTGATTTACCAAGAAGTAGCACGTCACCGTTTGCAATTGGCACCGACCGATCCTCCTTGTTAAGTTTCTTCGGTGGATCTGAAGTAAGGATAAATACATGATACTCAGAAAAGGCACCTAACCGTAACCCGGAGGAGGCCGCCGCCTCCTCTTTCACACGCTCAATTAGCTTTCCGGTGCACCACTGCTGTCGTAATGCAATGCAAAAAGGCATCACCGCCGCTGGTAGTGATAAATCCTCGACAAAAACAGCAGCCACAACTCTAGTATTACCGCTGCCGCTCGCCTCCTTTGCACCACGCGGATTCACCTTGTTATTAGAAAAACTAAACTTAGAGAAAGGTGGTGGTGTGCGAAAAGGCCACTCGGACGGAGAAAGTGCAGCATCATCTGTACTTATCACAGGTGATGGACCTGCAGAAGGATGGGAAACTGCCAATATTGAGTAATTATCCAACGGGCAGTTAGCTTTCACCGCACTTACAGCGTTATCTAGGTGATCCTCTTGCTCATGGGCACCCCCCTGCTCCGACATCAACGTGGTGCACTTCCTATCGAGATCAACGCCAAGAGGGGATGTAGACAAACGTGCTTGAGCCTGCAGACGAAGCCGGGTGGCCGCAGCCAAAACAAATGGATTATTCGCCAACTCACCAGAACGGCGATGCGGTGAAAAAAATAAATCTACCAATGCTTCTGAAAGCGACGAAATTGTCCAATCTTTCTTGGAGTCATTTGGGGAGTTTGTAGCAAGCAAAACCACCGTGTCTCCCGAGCTAAGTGTCTCTCGCGCTACAACGGCGAGAGATTGGGGATCCAGGCGAAGAGTTGGAGTCTGACCAGTAAACGTAGCTTGGTCTGCCCGCGTCATTCCCCCTTTTGCTACCTTGTCAAAATGCGCAACGATTCGCCATAGGGTCGCACGCGAGAAATCCCCCGGGGTCACATCTGAAGACCTGTTCGACAACTTCAGAGCCCCTAGGCACCGCTCAACAAGCTGGCCGAGGGCAAACTCCGTCGCCACCGAAAGGCTGCACACGTCCAAATTCCAGCCCATGGACGCGCCGGGGCGAGGCAGAGCCACAACGGCCACCAGGCCCATCCGACGCCCTGTGTAATCCGGCGGGACAAGAACCAGCGGCGCGCGGCCCGCGACCTGTGCCCCCCGAACTCTCTTGCCTCCCTCCCGACCAGAAGGGGCCTCCTCGTGGCCGTGCTCGGCACACGGCCTTAGATCAGACGGTCTTAAGTCAGAAAGGCTTAGGTCAAAGGGCCTTAGGTCCGATTGTTTTAAGTCAGAGGGCCCCAATGTACAGGAGACTCCCTGTGAAGCCTCCGTGGGGGGGGCGCACCACGGCCCCGTCGCCCCACCCGCGGGGGAAGGCTCGAGGACGGCGACGTGATGCCGCGTCGCGTGCGTCGCACAGAAGAGACCCCTGCAGTAGCTGCACCGCGTCGGTAGAAAATCAAAGTGGCCACACTCCTCACAGACCGCACCGCGGCCTTCGCATTCCAAACTCATACCCACAACACTGAAGAGGGGAAGAACCCCGAAGGAAGTGGTGTGTCTAAGGAAGGATACGGAAAAGGAATTTAAAAAATTGATAAAAATATAGAAATGGGGGAGGGAAGGCGTGTTTTAAAAGGCATAACCACTAGTAACGCAACGGTAAATAAAATAGATGAGTAAAAAAGAGAACAGGGGGTGTGCGGGTTGATGCTGAAAACCTCTTACTTTTTTTAAAAAAACTTCTTTGGTAAATGCAAACGAAAAAATCTAGTGTAATCAAACACAAATAACACATAGTGCTAATTCTACTACTGCAATATATAACGATAAAACTATGCTAACCTAGTACGACTATATTAGTTTTTTCTTCTCCATCCTCATTATTGCCTCATGAAAATATATTCGACGGAAAAGAGATGGTACCATATAAAATTCTATCCTCTCCTATATCATAAATAAACCAAATAAATCCTGAAAGAAAGGATTTTTCACATTTTCACACGCCATGAGTCTTACTTAGAATCTCCTAAATAAGTAACTAGATTTATTTACTCATATCAAGCAATACTCTAGTACCAACGCCATCGCTCGAGTCGGTTATACTTCTGAATAAATTCCTTAGTGTACGGCTGAGATGGGTAGTAGTTTTTATCTTGATAATGAGAATAATGTGGCATGTAGGCAGCGTGGTACAAGTACACAACAATTAGCATGGGAGCAAAGCATATGAAAAAGATAGGCACAAAAGTGTCACTAATCGTCCACTGATGAGGAGGGTTGAACCAGCGCCCAGAATGAGGAGGCGCAAAAAGGTTTGAGGTGGCGTGTCCGCGCGAAGGAATCGAAAGACGAAACATGGATATATATCTACAATTTATTAAGTGCCCACTATCTATGTGTTCTTAGTTGTATGTTTCTGATGATGTTTCTATTGCCTAATATTTTAGTTTAGGTCCCTACCTTCGTTTTCCTCAAACACACACACACATTAGAAAAAAAATGTAACCAAAATGAAGCTTATTATACACAAGGAATTTCGTGATTCATATACAACTCAAGTAGCACCGCGTGTAGAAGCGAATGTAAAAACATATTGTGATAAATAGAAAAAAAATGGAAAACACGTGTTTAATCATTATACTCCTATTAAATAAGAAGTATATGAGGATAATGAACGTGAATGAAGCATACTGTATGCGTCAATTTTTAGTTTACAGAACGTAAAGTTAAAGGAAAAGCCAAAAGCAATTGCAAAATAACCCCAAAAAAAAACAGTATACAGAATGTAATAATTAATCTCAACAAACTTTGTAGTAATAATAAATTATTTATTGGGTAAATAAACAAACTGTGCGGGTCACCACGCGTGTCGCCATTATCAATCTTTTTTTAAGTTATTGACATATTGCATACCAAAGAATACAAATATGGATACATTCAAGTAAAACGAATACTGTCAGCTAAAAATCTATATAATAATGTCAAGCTTTTCATGTATGGGTCTATTATATATGCATTCATCAGAAACACTAATGTAACTCTCTTCAACTAAAAAGACGGAAAATTCAGCATATTACCGGGTGCAGAAGCCTCTTTAGAGATGGGGGCGTTCGCTTTCAATGACCCTTGGGGAGGCATTGGCATCGGTGCCTGAACCCATTGTATATCGTTATCCCAAAGAGTGCTAGCATTCGTAAAGTGGCCCTGCGGAGGGGTGGGTTGCCAAGATGATTGTTGCGGGACTGATACCGTCTGAGGTTTCCCTTCCACGTAATTCTGCGGCTGCGCACCACCTTGGTAAGGTCCCGCCCACGCGTTCGCAAGCGTTGGGACCTGTTTCCATGGATCATTTACCGCCCCTTGAGCCTGCGCGTTGGTCTGCGGCTCCGGCGCGCTCGTTGTTGCCCGCGTTTGAACACCACCACCAGGGAACACACCGAACAGGTCCTCCACGCTCTTTGGGCCCGCCGCCACAGCAGGCGGCGGAGAAGATGAAAAAAGATCGTCGAGTATGTTACTTTGGGACACTTCCGGGGGGGCAGAGGGTTCGGCACTGATTGGCCCTGACTTACTCTGGGTCTTGGACTCTGCAACAGCCGCAGTGGGCGGCGTAGGTTTTGAGTATGAACGCTTCGGAGATGGCTCCTGAGCTTCTGCTTTCTGAAGTTCCTCATTCTGGAGGCGTTGGGCTAGCTGTTCATCCGTTGTATGTGACTGCTTCTGGGATGAGTTCTCTCCGAAACGGTTGTTTGGTGTATGTTTGCAGTATATTTTCTCGATTTGACTGACCGACATACCCGAGCGGCGCTCTTCTTCTCGCTGTAAGCGCAGCGCCATTTCCATATCAAATAACTCCTGCTCAGACTTAGTTCGTGTGACATGTGACAGTTGATGGATGCTATCATGATGCTGGTCGTAGCCGGAATAGTCGCCATACCCTTCTGATGAAAAAGGATAAGTGAATCCTCCGTGGCTTTCCTCATAACGGCCTCCATTTATCCTTACGGAGCTACCGTTCGGCATATCCCGCAGGAGCTTCGCTTTGGTTTGCGCAGATTTCTCACGTTCCTGACTCAACAAAAAACCATCGCTCAAGAGACCCGCTAGATTCCTCGCGCGCTCTCGCACAGAAATGCCGTGATCAACACCCTTTCCATTGGTGTAATAAAAGCTTTGGGAAATGGTCCTCAGGAGTGGCACCAAAGCACTGATTTCTGGTAAGTAACCATCACTCAAATTACGCGCCAGGTAGTCAAGAAGGAGAAGAGATTTGTAACACGACCTCCATGACTTATCACGATGTTTTAGCCGCCTTGTGATCTCGTCCATAATTTCAGTCGTACCTCGGGGAAAGGCACGGCATACATATTCCATCTGCTGGCCCGTCGGTCCCCATTTTTCATCGTTTGTCGCCTCGTGAACAAGAGTCAGGAACTCATTACCGCTGGCCTTCACGCGCGCCCATTCTTTAGCGGCCCAAATCTTTTTTGAAATTTCCATGGTTTAAAATGCTAACGCTTAATAGCAATACCACTTATTCTTCTTTAAGCCTCTGGATCTTCCCTGTCTACCCTTTTAGTTTGTATTTTATGATACAATAGTGCCTAAATAACGCACGCTCGATATATAGACTTATCAAATAATAATAATAAGTAGAGATCACTAAGGGTATCTCTTTCCTTTGTATCGGTGTATTCAACGCAGGGTTGTATACTTTTGAAAAAAACAAGATATTGTATAGAAAAGTATAGGACTTCAAAGCGTATCTACTCCATCTACATCACATCACAATTTTTACTATGATTCTCATAATTACAAGAAACCCCTGCCTTATATATATATATATATATATATATATATATATATATATATATATATATATACCTAAATGATCCTATTTAATATAGGAGGGAATATATCGAAGAAACAAAGGGTTATAAATATTAGCAATAAATATTGCAAATAATCCATAAAACCGTTTCTGTTTCACCATACCAATCACAAGATAATCTAATCCACATCTTTGGGTGCGATATTCAAAGATGCTCTTGCACCTTTCGAAGAGAAACCTTGAGATAATAGTCACTCAATCAAAGGAAGGAAATATAAGTCTTCTGATGCCAACCCTTGATGAACTGATTTCATGGAGGTGTGAGAACCTATCAAAGCGGTATGGCACAGCTCATCCAAGCAGCTCGCGATAGCCAAGTAGGCACTTCGAACTGTAAAGTAGACCTCACCAGCCACATCAGTTTCATTGCTGGTGTTTACGGTATCGGTTGAAATGAATACACGCGCACCACCAGGTGATCCATTCGTATCACTCATAAGATTGGCGCTATCTGACATGCCGGTTTGGTTTAGCCATTTCCATGCCTCCTCAGCCTGAAATCCTAAATCGTTTTGAGCACAAGACAAAAGGTAGCTCTGTAAACCTCTCTCCATCCCTTCTAGGATACCGGTATGAAAAAGCACTAAGGCCTCAGGCTTCATGCTACCGCTGCTACCCTCTACTGGCTTGCAAGTGAAGGGAGACATAGTGGTGCGCAGCTGCCTCACACGATCCAACACGCTTCGTTCCACACGACCATCAGCAGTTGGTAGTAGGCTGCTGAGTCGCTCCGGGAGCACGGCGCGGTGAACAATATGCTGCCACACCACACGAGCCATCAACAATCCTTTGCGCTGCAGTGCATCCGTTGCGCCACCAACAAGAATACTACATATCACGTGACCAAAAAAGGATAAATGTGGCAAATCTGTACACATAGCGTCATCTGTATCCTGCGCATTTGAACCCCATGAATTTGTGGCGTTACTATCAGAAGAAGTGCTGCAAGACACATCAGACCTGTCGTCATCCATAGGCATGGACATCGAAAAGGTCCTATCCACCTGAGCATCTTTTAAAGAACGCTTTTGATCGGCGCACTCGCATTCACCAATAACTACGAGCCATCGTGTCCGTCGTTCCACAACGTCAAGAGTCGCGCGCTTGATGAAGCCTTTCCTATTCTCGACGCACGGCATCGTAAGGTCCATCTCATCCAGAGGATACAGCAGAACGCCTGCTTTGCTGTCTCGTATACAACGCAATTTGCTCGGCTCCGTAAAGGGTGTGTTTGGGACGGTACCCCAGCGCAGGCTCAGCTGACTCATGCCCCACTTCCCGATCGAACCAACCACCACCACCGTGCGCGCGCCCGTCCCCCACCCTTCCATCAAACGCAGCTCCCGCTTCCCAATATGCGCCTCCACCAGGATGAGAACGATCCCTTCCCGAACACCTCCAACAACGTCTACAAGATCAGTTAATTTAAAGAATGGAATTGCTCCATTATCCCTGAAGCTCTGGGCCACAGGTTTCCCCGCCGTTTGAGCTTCCCCCAGCATGTCCTCTGCGTTGGGCAGTGCACACTCCGGCAAGCGGGACATCAGTATCACACACACGGAAGGATGCAATTCGGCTGAGGACAGGATGCGCACCTTCGAGCAGTCGGTGTGCGCGTCGTCCATTTCCAAGCTGGGCCCCTCCGCGAGGAATGGGCGTTTGAGGGTGGAAAGCGCGTACCGCGCCGATGACGGGCTCACCAACATCGTCCCCGCCCCCACAATAGAATCCGGGAACGATCCTGGCGCGATCCCGGACGGCCCGGTACTCGACAGGAACGCACTGACGATCTCCACCGCAGAGATGGCCAAGCCTGGGAAAACCACACACGCCCGTGAAGGCTGCAAAAGGTGATAGCGACGCACGCTGTGGGAGGGCAACGTCGCAGCCGCAGCGGAAAGCCAAGAACCGCAGAGGTGGGAGGATGCGGGCGAGGCCTCGGAAAGAGCGCCGCCCCCCTCGACCTCCTCAGCATGGAGGGAGGAAGGAATCAGCTGCACCGCGCCATGCGCGACAGACAGGGCTTGGTAAAGTGAACTCGTGTAATCCATAACAAACCCGTCGCCAGAACGCTGATCAGACAAGGATTCGGCTGGCATCGCCATTTTTTTTGCGGACGGTTGCGTGTTGCCTGCGGCAGCGCGCCTGTTTGACTGGCGTCTAACCCAATCCACATATCGCTCCTCCCAATACTCTGTAAATACCCTAACCTTTTTTAGACAAGGAAGAGTATACTCCGTGGCTGCTACCACAGCCTCAATGATTGAAGCCTCCGGTGAAAATGGATGTACCTTAAACTGACATCTGGCGTACACAAGACAGTCCCTGCACCATGCATCAGAATCCTTGCTTTGAAGTGATGCGAAGGGCGATATATATGCAGATGGTTTCCACCTCGGATATCTTTGGAGAATTGGATCCACATATTCTAAAAAAAAATTAAAAAATAAATTCTTATCAGCAGCAAGAGGGTCTGTGAGCTTACCCTTTTCTCCATGAAAAAGGTTTTCCACTTCAGACCACAAAACTTCTTCCTCGTTAGTGTCCACGTCCTGTATTTGTGAAAAAAAGCTTCCAAACACAACAGGATCTACGTCTGGTTGCTGGAATGTCTGCTTAGGTGGAGTCGAAAATTCCGAAAAAGCCGGGTCATGCCGCCCTTGAAGGTACCGCTTTTCCACCCACTCTGACAGCACCCGGTATCGTGCCTTTAATGAACTAGTCAGCACCGCCTCCTTCAAGTTGTCAACTCGGTACCAATTGGGGGAACGCTTCTCTGCCTCTTGCGCAAAATGTGAATAAATTGCCAACACCATCCATATAATAAATGTGCTTCTTTTGCCCATAGCGTCGCTACCACTAGTGGTCTCTCCACAGCATCTTGAGGAGTGATGATTCAATGCTCTCAAAAGTACGCTGGAAAGGAAATGTATCAACTGCTTTTCATCTTCGCTAAACTCACTGTAACAGGTAGCAGATGAGCCCTGGAGCAAGTATGGTAAGTGCTCAAGGTACTCTTGAGCTGTGTAAATGGCAACCGAAGAATTATCGCCACCGCATTCCTTTTCATTATAGGAAGCGGGAAGCAACTTGCAAACACCGAAGTCGTACGAATAGGAGAGATAGCACTCAATCAATCTTTGAATCTGAAGAGAAGCCCTATACATGTTTCGACAAATTTGGGGTAAATACCATATCTCTAATTAACGGAATGCAGCCTAAAAAAAAGAATGTATTCTCAGAACCATGAAGTGCACTTGGGAAGTTCAAAATACAGTGTTTTACAATTTTGCGAAAACATCTCCAGATAGGATAATATATGGCTTCACCGACGGTCGAAAAAAAAATGAAATTTCAGAGGAAAAGGGCATGAATAGAAACAGATGGCACAAACATATAGGTATCATATAATTTTATTTAAAAAAGAGTTCCAGTGTGTGTATTCTTTTATGATTAAATTCTCAAGGATAATGAATAAAATCGATGCTCGATACACCATTAAATACCAAGTCCTTCAAAACAGTCACCGGCACTGCATTACATGTGCACGCAGAGAAGGGAAAGAAGGGTTTCTCGGTGAAACCTTCCCCTTTGGTATGTTCCTCTTTACCACTCCTCCTGACTACATCACCCTCCTTCTCTATTTCGTCGCTCATCTCAAAACGTGAGGTATGATCGTTGGAAGATTTCGAATCCACTGTTAACAAAGGAACTAACTTTTTACGTCGGCAACATTCTTGATGGTCATCGCCACCGCCCCACGGCATGCCAAAGGCCATGGACGACAGAGCCGCGTCTCGGCCTTCCCATTGACTAAGCAGCTCCGCAGGTGTTGCAGCAAAGCACACCTCAAAGATCGGTATTAGACCCTGATGGTGTGGTGGATCCTCGTGGGAATTGTCTGCGGCAACTCCTGAGGCTGGAAAAGAGCCCCCTGATGAAGTATGTCTTTCCTTTTCTAATGTGACCCGATCCAAAACGCTTTTGGGCGCAGGCATTGTCCACGGGAGAAAATAGTAGCATAGCTCCGGGATGGCTCGTAGATTAGGTTGGCTGGCACTCAGATCAAATGCTTTTGTACCATCACTTGACAGAATGAATATATCCTTTGAAGAGGCGCAAAGAGGCTTGCAGGATGCAACGGTAGAGGAATGGGATAACCCTAAGGTTGCGCCCGTTGTCTTTGGATGAAAAGTTGAGCCAGACGGAGCGCTAGGATTTGAAGCCGCTGCTGTCGTCGCCGACCGCATCATAGCCTCGTCGTTTTCCATCGGACCCAAGTCATCAAACGCAGTGTGAATGGCATGGTGAGCGCTAAATGGATCTAAAGCCCCCACAGATACATTGTAAGGGGCTATCCCTTGGTTAGTCTGCGTAGATCGCTTCCTGTTAGCATCCAATGTGACCTCTCCAGTACTTCGGGTGCGTTTCTTACGATTGACATTGCTATCTGACATTCCACATGAGGCTGAGGCTGAACCCTTCCGGCTACGCGCATTCCCAAACTTGCTGAGAACACTTAAGCCAACATGTTCGAGATATTGAGCCGTTAACCCGGGGGTGTGAGATGCCACATATGCAGACAGTTCCTTAATAAGAACAACTTCGTTGATGCCCATGATCTCATCATCTATCGCATCCGACGCGGTTCTTCCGGGGTTTCTCAATTCAAAAACAGAATCCTCCAGATCCGCTAACCCCATTAAGGCACCGCGGCACAGCTCTGAAAAACAAGCACTAAACCGTCTCTGAGAATCTGTTCCCTTAACAACTGTCCGAGCAGAGTGCACCACACTACACAGAAGTTCATAAATAGAGGAAAGCCTATTATGATGTGGCATACCAGCGGAGGAGACCAAAGCATGCACAAGTTCATACTTATCCTTGTCAACTGTGAGTGGTTTGGATGAGCCGGCAACTGAATGCTGGTGAATTGAATTTTTTGTGTGCATATTTACCTCTTCTATGGGCTACCTCGTTTTTTAGTCTCGAAAAAACTTGTATAGACTTTACTATTGGATTGTTTAGACTTCTTTTCCTTATATATATTGATATTGAATGTAACAAAAGCGTTCGGTAAGGTTAATAAGTTAAAAAAAAAACTATTGAGAATACTTCAGCTACTTTACAGAGTAATTTAAGGTTTAGTAGTAGGTTTTACTTGTTTTTATAAGTAAGAACGCAGATATACACTCGTATACCCACATCCGCATATTCTGTATATCATACCACATATTGCTGGTTTCCTTACATGATTCCTGCCCTGGAAAAAAAAGAGATACACAAGAACATAGTACCACAACTAACGTGGAACCTAAGTATAATGTAGCTTACAACATTTTTATTGATAAAAATACTGGAAAAAAAGGAAAATGGCACTCAATTGGAAGTTTCCTTTAAGGAGGAGGTAAGCGAGACGAAATTGAAGTGAATCCCTCATCATTTTACTCTCCCTTCCTTTCCCCCCTCCACGAATTCATGTCTATGTACCTGTTTATTTTACGTATGGACATCTGAAATTTGCAGTAAAATATTAGGATTACAAAATATGAGTGATCTCTGTTGTTTCCTTAGTCACAAAGGGCATAATATCAAACAGCCTCAGTAGTTTACCCAGCTACTTTATTAATGTTTCTACTGTTCTTCCCAACTCAATCTCGGAGTACCGTAATATTTTCATTAATGACTTCCATTATTCTTCTCGGAAATTCATAATATAGTATTATCTCTACACTAAAAACAGACAAATCCTCAAGCTATTACTAGGTTTTGAATGTTTTCTAGCTCAGTCTGCGCGAAGATACCTTTCAATGAAATTTTTAAAAACTCTTCACTAATTTAGTGAAAGCATAATATCACTATAATTGCAGGAGTCAACTTATATTGCAATGTTTTATTGAGTCTAAGAAATCTTAATGAAATCAAACACCAGTTAAATAGAGTACTTGAAATAGAACTATGGAATTGATACAGAGAAAGGATAATTAAGTATACTGGAATACAATAGATGTGCAGATAACTTCACTGCCACTACACAATCATAGTATCAATATTGTGCTGAATGTATTTTACACGTAAAATAAAAAGAGAAGGAGCATAAAATTAAAAAAAAAAGATTATTACATGGTAGATCATCTAATATTCCCTGAGAACTGCAAGCTAAAAAAAAAGTAAGCAATAATAATAAAGCAATTCTTTCCCACAAACATATAATAAAAACTTATTATAGTCCAACAACGTTAGAGACTTGTCGACGAAGTATCCTCCGCGCATCTAAATCTTTACGGTAGAAAATAAATATCTTAATTATAATGAAAAAAAGTACGATAGATTCAAATAACCAAAGGAAAAGCAAAATAACAACAGGTATTGCACATAGTAGGCCACGAGATTGACTGATATGGAGAGACAAAATAATGCCAGACATACCAAAACTGAGAGGACCAAAAAACTCAAGAAGCGCGTGGGCAAGTGCAATAGTAAGTCCTAAAAATGTCATATGATACTTCGATGGATTTCCAGTTGAACAAGATCGATAAACAGGCCAGAACCAAACAAAGAAACTTAACGGGATACCAAAAAGAGACAACAAAGCAAAAATAATGTTCGCTGTTTTATCGATTTTATTAACCTTACCACGTTTCAAAGGTGTATATTGAACAGCAATCGATACAATAGCGCTTAGAACTAATAAAATAATAAGAGCAATCCAATTCCAGTACGCCATGTAAACAACTCTTCTTCGTGAATCAGGAACCTGATCTAAGCTATAGTATACTACAGGTCTTAAACATAAAAACCTTGGAGGAAAATTTGGCTCGAGAGCTAACCCGTGATTTTGTTGCTCAGCCTCATCCAAACGTCTCTCCAGTTCATTAAGGCGCTCTTCTTCAGCCAAAGTTCTTTTCCATCGTCGCTCAAGTGAAACACGTGTTTTTTCCTCATCAGAAATAACCTTCGATTCTGCTTTAGAACCAAGTTTTGCCATCATTGAAGTCAACTTGTTCACAGTTTTTTTACCTCCATTTTTTATATTGGCCGCTGATGAGGACTTGGGTGAAGTCTTAGGCCCGTCACTATTTATATTATAGTAATATGCACAGTTTTGCATATTATCGCCAGTATTCTTTGGCGAGAAAGCTTCAGAATCCTCTTCTTTGATTTCCTCTTGATGATGCGAAACTTGGATCATATTTGTGTCCCTCTGTAAATTAGTTTGACTGTTCTCTGACTCTAATGGGCCGAAGTTGTATTCATTCGAAAGAGCTTTCGCTTCGTTTTCATCTATTCCAAACATGCCAAAATAATAACAATAATAATAATGTCACCTTCACTAATTTGTATTTGAATCAGAAAAATATCAAATTTTATAAATATTGTCAAAAAAGGCTGGGAAAGGGAGAAAATAGCTACTGACACTTAGAGTAATAAATATAAAGAAAAATAGCAAAGAAACTGACGTTTTAGAAAGTTTCCAAATATTTTAAGGAAAAGAGAGAAGTAATCGATATAAAAACTAACAACCAGAACATCTTTTATTCCCTAAGGATAAAATCCTGTCTGATTATTATTATTTTATCGATTGAATTTTTATATATAGACAAAGACCTATTAAGCTTGTCTGAAAAAGTTTGATCAGAGAATGAAGTTTTCTTGGTAGCATCATTTTTATTTCAGATTTATATTGTATCTAAAGTATTTGTGAAGGCTCATATTAATAATCTGATCTCGTGGCTGTATCGATATTCGCACCCTCAAAAGCGTCTAAAAGGTTTTCATTAATAAAAGAGCAAAATGTTAGCTTTAATTTTACAGGGTAAACTCGAATAATATCCAGGGCTTTATCAACATTAAGTTTGAAAATGCTAACGTGTGGTTTACTCTTTGTCAGCGATCTATATGAGGAGATCTATTTTGGCAAGAAGGATGCGATGGTTTAAAAAAGTTAACCACAGTCAAACAAGATTTATTAATAAGGCTATTCTGCTACGGTAAAAATGGAACATACGTGACTTTCATAGGCAAACTTTAGTGAAGTATATATATTTTTTTAACAACAAAAATATCGGACCAAATGGAAGAAATATAAAATAAATAGTCAAGACAATACTGATTCTTTCTGACACATCAATGTAATTTTTTTTTGTTGTTGATATTCCAATAATTCAATAGAAATGCATCTAGGAAACCTATTCAGCTCGAATAATAGTAATCAAATCAAATGAAATTTTTTTATCTAGTAATTCAAAAACAAAGATTACCTAATATTGACAAAAAACTAAAGATATATTGCCAATAGATAAAAAATGACTGAACAACAGAAACTGCTGATATTAAGAAGTGTATTATCTATTTAGGCTCAAAAACTGCTCAGTTTGATTCATTTCGCAGGTCACCTTTTTTAGCATAAGCACAAGAAGGAACAAAGTCTTTTGATACTTTCATCGGCTTTCGTGATGGTGGTTCATATTTCTGTGTCTTACCGTTAGAAGCCACAGATTTGGAATTTTTTTTTGTCTCAATTTGAATACGTTTGTTGTCTTGTGACGGAGTCAAAACGCATTGAGATTCATCACCATGGTGTAAGTTGTGATTAGTACCTATAGCTCGATTTTTACCCAAACGAAATTTACGGCTATGTCTGATTTCATATGGCAACAGAAGAGGAACACTGGGATCCACATAAGCCCTACTCTCACCAGATAGTCTTGGAGTAATGGGATAATTACTTTGGTGGCTCTCAACATGTGGCTGAGCTTTTTTGCTCATATTTAACCTTCGTTGTCTTTCGGTATTAAGTATTTGAGTGACATAGTCTGGTATGGGAGAAAACAAATCTTTCTCATTCTCCTCAATGTCGTTACATAGATCTGGGGCTCTGGATAATATATCTTCATCATCGTTACACATTACCATTGTAGTAAGGGTTCGAGAAATTGCTTTTGATGAATTTTCAATACGTCTTATCTCATTTAATAATATCGACGAATCCATGATAAAACTTGAACTGTAATCAAATTCCTCTTGACGCTTTTCAGAATTATTATCCATTTCCAAAAGGTGTTGGGTATGAGGATCAACGTCGGTCTGGTCTTCAGATGAAATATTAAATAAGATAATTTTTTTTTTCTGCAAATCAAACAATTTGAAAGAAAATAAAGAAAGTTGTAAGGAACGAAGAAAATTCTTCAAGATTATTAAATCCATAAATAAGGACCTGTGAGATGTTAAATGAGATTTCAGATTTAGACATGTTTACCGTAATTTTGTACCTAACTTGTAGATGAATATTTTTGTGCGTAAGGAAGTTTTAAAAAAAAACATTAGAATTTTTTTAATTTTACAAGAAAAAAAAATCCTTTTTCATAAGTTCAAGGTTTATGATTCTAATTGTTTGCACTAGGCAGACCGATGGATTTTACAAAAAGGGTACGCCGGACCATATTAATCCCACGTTACCAGCATGACTTCTTTTCTCTTTGGGTCAATTATTTTTCTTTTAAATAAAGAAAAGTTTTCAGCGATCACGATCCATTTTTCTTTTTTACTAGACAACGGCCTTTATTTATACACACCGAACTATTTAAAAATGCGCCGCCTGGAAAAATAAATTCCCTCCCTCCCCCCCCCAAAAAAAAAAATGCTCTACTTCACTTTTTCCAGAATAAGGAATTTATAGATAACCGCCTTCCCCCGCCGCAAGCTCTAAACAATTTGTCTCAATATTTCTTATTTTATAAATCTAATGGAATGTCGTGGAATGGAAATAGCAAGTTCTACAGATTATCGATTATTTGCCTTATGAAAGGCAAATCCCTTTAGCAAATTACATTAGTTTCGTCGAAACAGTCAAAGTAAAAGTGAAAACTAAATAGTTTTGGGCAACACGTCATGTCTACATCTCCTTTGTGATAATTTTATCCTCTGTAGATCCTATTAAGGAATAATAAAGAGATCTATCCTAAATGAGCTAAATCAGGCATGTAAGTTAAATTAATGATCCCGTTGTACCACATGGGAGCCTATCAAACGGGAGGGTTTTAATGATTTACAAATCTTACATGTCAAAAACTTGCCAACAATAGTAAAAAATGAGTGATAATAATAATAATTTTCTTAATAAAACTATTAACTAATAAACTTTAGAAAGGCGTAGAATTTAAAAGGCTATGATGAAGTTTTTGGTGGTCTACATTTCGCGCTAGGACAGGGGCTTCTTTCAAAAAAAAAAGGTCTTAAAAACTAATTAAAAGGGATAATATTTAAAAATGAATAAAGTTCATGTTGGATTTTAAGGGAAGCATGGAGAAATAGCGTATTTGTTACTTTCAGTGGATTGTTTTCCGCTATTGTGAGTATAAGTATCCTTTTTTCTTTCTGAAACTTTAGGCTTAAGTTAATTTATTTTAACTGAAGTCTCATTTATTTTAATATTTTCAGTACATATCTATAATGATTTAGATTAGATGATAATAAAAATCATAACACTATTTGATCTAAATACCTTTTATTTAAAAATAAATCTTTTGTTTATTATAATTGTTATTTTTTATACCATTGATTATAAACAATAAATTGATACATTTATAATTTATTTGGTATATTGACCACTTTAGTATCTATTTATGACATAATGGGTAAAAAAGAGGTTCAGTACATGTTATTGTGTCTTCTATCGTAATTTCCCTTTTGTTTGTAGTACCAAATGCCGATATTGTAAGAACCTGCGTTAGTAGTCATTTTCATGAAAGATAGTCCTTAGGATAATAACCAAGAAATATAAGTTTAATGAAAATAATAATAAATAGGTACGAAATGATATATTTATATATGATTAGTTCGAGCTCAATTAAAATAAGAATAAAATAAATATCACGTTTGGATTCTTGTTTTATGCAACTATATTTTATTCTACTTTTCTAAATATTTGGTCTAGTCTGACAATAAGTTGTCAATTTAATTTGTTAAACGTATATAACTTCACAGAAGAAAAAATGTCTGACGAAGATAACGATTTCACTCAGCAGGGCGGTGACAACGCATCCAAGACCTACCCTATGGCAGCTGGTGCCCTTAAAAAGGGAGGACATATTTGTATAAATAATCGTCCGTGCAAGGTTATTGATTTATCCGTTTCTAAAACCGGCAAGCACGGTCATGCCAAAGTTAGCATTATTGCGACAGATATTTTCACTGGCAATCGCCTGGAGGATCAGGCTCCATCGACGCATAACGTTGAGGTTCCTTTTGTCAAATCCACCACGTACAGTGTGATTGATATCCAACCTAACCATGATGACCCCTCACTCCCGAGCCATCTCTCGCTGATGAATGATGATGGTGAAAATCGTGAGGATTTGGACATGCCTCCGGATGCAAATCTTTCCAACCAGATCAAGGATCAATTTGATGCGGGTAAAGACGTATTGGTTGCGGTGGTTTCTGCCATGGGTATTGAACAGATTCTGAGTTTTAAGAATGCTGCTGAGAAGTAAGTAATAAAACTTTATAGTTGTGGTTCTTTTTTTTTAACTATAAATGAGCATTTTAATTCTGGAAATGGTAAACTTGCCCAAAATTTTAGCGGAAAAGTGTCTTTTATATAATATCCGTTTTTGGTAAGATTATATATGGGTATAATTTTTACACTTTTCATTATTGCTTCAGTATATTCTATATTTTTCCCCTCCACGCATAAACTTGATATTGCCAACTTAGTTCTGAAAATTCCTCGACTTTTTCCTTTTATTTTATTTTCTTTTTATACTTCTTTTCTTTCATATATTAAATCATAAAAAGGAAATCGTGACCTTATCAAAGGAGCTCGCTATTATTTAATGACCAATTATGTTCGTAATGTCGCTTTGACTCTCACTGATAAACTTATTTGGCGTCCTGCAAAAAATGAAGACCAGGTGTATAATTACATATTACAAAAATCGCCTTCTTCACGTGCCCGTTGTAGAAAATGTTCACAATGCATTGACAAAGGCGAGTTCCGTTGCGGCATTCCTGTAAGATTTGCCGGTGGAGAGAACGGGTGGATTTCAGCGTGGCAACATTTGGGGTGCACACGACTCGAGGAGAGCGAAAATTTGACTAAAGTAATGCATGGGTTTGCCCAGTTAAAGGAAAGCGATAAGGAAAAAGTAATTTTGGAAGTTACTTCCTCTGAAATTCCTGAACATTTAAAATCCCTCGACACAGAGGATTTGATTAAACGTATGAGGCTTGAAGAGGCGGAAACACCAAAGGAAGTGCTAAGAACCTTGCTTCCTTACCAAAAGGAGGGTCTGAATTGGATGCTAGCTCAAGAACACTCTGATACAAAGGGGGGAATTTTGGCAGACGAGATGGGAATGGGAAAAACAATTCAAATGATTTCACTTCTTGTTGCTCATCCTGTTCCTGGGCCCACACTCATTGTTTGTCCGGTAAGCTCCATGTTACAATGGGAATCAGAAATAAAAGAACATGTTGTGTCAGGTAAGCTTACAGTTCTAGTGGTTTATAAAACATCAAAAATTAAAAGGGAAGACATAGAGAACGCCGATGTGGTCCTCACAACATATCCAATGATTGAACAAGCCTGGCGATTGCTTGTAAACCGTACTAAAGTTCCATGCCCATATTGTGGCCAACTTTTTCTTGTCCGACAGCTTATCGTGCACAACAAATATTTTTGCTCGCCAAATGCAAAGAAGACAATCAAACAGCTAAAACGTGAAAAGGGAAAAGGCAAAGTTGCAAACAGAAAATTTCAATCTGAAGCAACAGTCAAGAAGGGTCTTCGAACATTGCATATTGATATAGACAATACCGAAGAACCTGAGCTAAAGTACATAGAGGAAGAAAATCGACTTGAAGGTAAGTCTAGACCTATAATGGGGCCCATGGGGATGTACCAGGAGCTTATGCGTGAGGCAGGAAGGACCGTACGCAGTCGATGGGAACATGCCCGGAGGCATTCTAGTAGCAGTGAGAGTGATGAATCCAACGACAGTGCGGAGTCATCTTCCACAGAGTTTGACAGTGCGGCTCAACAAGCTGAAGAAGAAGAAGCTGCACATCGCAAAGCAGAAGAATTGGCCATGCTTGATTCTTTCCGTTGTGATAAATGTAGTTTTCAGTATCTGCGCTACCCTTTTTGTCCAAAGACTGGCCAATATCACGTCATCCCAGAGGCGTTGAGAAAGATGACAGAATTAGACACCGGAGGTGACAAAGTTGACCTGGATACTTCTATGTTTCATTCACTAAAATGGGCTCGCATAGTTTTGGATGAGGCCCATCGGATTAAAGGACGAACCACCAGTACTGCACGCTCCGCATTTGCCCTGGAAGCAGTGTACCGCTGGTGTCTCACTGGGACACCGTTGCAAAATCGAGTTGGTGATCTTTATAGTCTTCTTCGGTTTCTTCGTATCAAACCATACTCTCACTATTTCTGTGGAGTTGATGCCTGCTCTTGCTCCTCTCTTTCACACCCTTTTTCAGGGACATCGCTCCATGAGTGCATTTTTTGTGGTCACGGTCCTGTCCAGCATTATTCATACTTTAATCGACTAATTCTCAACCCGATCAATCGTTATGGCTACATTGGTGAAGGGCGCAGGGGGATGATGTTATTAAGTAACGATGTCTTTTCCAAGGTGATGCTTCGCCGAACAAAGATGGAGCGTGCAGAAGATCTGCACCTACCACCTTTAAAAATAAATATTCAACGCATTCAGCTCTCAAACGAGGAGCGAAACTTTTATGAGGCGCTGTACAAAAAATGTACAGCTGAGTTTGACACTTTCGTAGGCAAGGGAACGATTTTGCACAACTATGCGCATATTTTCCAGCTTCTGAGCCGATTGCGTCAAGCGCTTGACCACCCCTTGCTTGTTATGCGAGGTATGAATATTGGTCCTGTGGTATACAAAAAGGGACTCTGTGGAATTTGTGGTGAGGGTGTTGAGGGAGAAAAAACCTTTAAGGCTCATCCGTGTCGACATACCTTTCATTGTCTATGTCTCAGTCAGTTTCTAGAGAGTGCCCCAGACAGGGACTATCATTGCCCTATTTGCTTTGTTCGTATTAACGTAGACCTTAGACAATTGCGTCTGGAGTGGAATGAGGACGAAGACGCTGGTGCCGCTGCCCTCCCACCCGAATTACAAGAAATGGACGATGAAGAATGTGATCAAACTGAGGCAAACGAAGAGGATGAAGATAAAACTAAGGTGAAAGCAGATGATGAAAAAAAAGGAAATAATTTTCAAAATTCTAGCCGCACTAAAGCGAGCACCAGGTCGTCTTCACCAATGTCAACAAAAAAAAGCGATAGAAATATCCTCTCTAGGCTTGACCCTAACAAACTCCTGCACGGCACAAAACTTGATGCTATCACCAATTATATTGAACAAATCCCAGCAGATGAGAAGGTTATAGTATTCTCTCAATTTGGTGATATGCTGGATCTCACGCAGTATTGGCTCCAAAAGCGCTTTATAAAGTCCGTAAAGTTGTGTGGCACTCTGACGCTTTCGCAACGACAAGCGGTGCTACAGGCATTTTTGCATGAACCCACTGTTCGTGTTATTCTAATCTCTCTCAAGGCCGGTGGAGAGGGTCTCAATCTTCAGATTGCAAACCATGTCGTTCTAATTGACCCGTGGTGGAACCCAGCGGTGGAGATGCAAGCTGTGCAACGGGCGCATCGTATAGGTCAGACCAAACTGGTTGATGCCGTGAGGTTTGTGACTGAGAACTCAATAGAGGAACGCATGGTCGAACTGCAGGACAAAAAGATGCTTGTTTTTGAAGGAACTATCGACGGAAAAATGCAATCCCTCAGCAAGTTATCTGAAGAAGATTTACAATTCCTCTTCACGCGTTAAAAGACAAAAATTATGAAGTCTTTTTATTCAGGACATAATTATTTTAATGGCTTGTAGAATTCTTGTGTTTTAAAGCCTACTCTTCTTCCTTCCTATTCCTCCTATTCATATGGGTTGACACTGGATTTCCAAAAGTCTAAATTAGTTGAAAATATTTGATTAGCTGACGATAATGATATTCACTGTATTTTGTCTGATATCAACACCATCATCATTGATCCTTCTTGCCTTTTTACGTGCTGTATTTTGCTGAATTATTGTGCGTAAGTGTACATAATTTAATCGACAAAAAATTTTCTTTTTTCAATTCAAAGATATAGTATTGCATATTAAGTTGCACTTAAGCTATCACTCACTACACGCGAGTTATAAAAGGTGAAAAGTGTTAAAGGAAAGGAAGGCATAATAGTTAAAAATATCTTGCCAATCAACATATTTCAACTTTAATTATTCCTGTTCGAACATTAAATTTTCAATTATACAAACGTGATACGCAGTTACAAATATGGGTATTCCGCTTTCAAGGCCTGTGCTCACCCGCATTCATGAACGTTACGGGAATGATGTGTTTCGCTGTGGTTCATGCTGCGTGAATGGCTACCGGGAAACCATGGAGGACGCGCACCTTGTCTATCTTCAGTCTAATTGGGGTTTCTTCGGCGTCTTTGATGGACACGTAAATGATGAGTGTTCAATGTATTTGGAAAAAGCTTGGCGTGCCGTTATGGAACGCGAGAAAGATAATATTCCTCTTAGCGACGACCGCTTACGTGAAATTACCCTTCGAATTGATCAAGAGTGGATGAATTCGGGGCGGGAGGGCGGTAGCACAGGTACTTTCTTTATAGGAACAAAAGAAGGTAATAAAATCCATCTTCAGGTTGGTAATGTCGGTGACTCACGTGTGGTGGCCTGCATTAATGGTGTATGCAACCCTCTCACTGAAGATCACAAGCCAAACAATGAAACAGAAAGGAAACGTATTGAGGAATGCGGCGGGCGCGTGGAGAACAACCGTGTGGACTCCTGTTTAGCCGTAAGTCGCGCGTTTGGGGACCGAGACTATAAGACAAACTGTGCTGGACAGCTTATGCAGAAGGTTATCGCCCTCGCCGACGTCACCCATGCTGATTTAACCTATAATAGTGATGACTTTGTGATCCTATGCTGCGATGGCGTCTTTGAGGGGGAATTTACAAACGAAGATGTGATTTATTTCATTAAGGATCAACTGGGAACAACAGATGACCTCTGTGAGGTTGCCGCAAAGGTCTGCGAGGAGGCTATTGAGCGAGGAAGTCGCGACAACATCTCGTGTGTTATTGTTCAATTTAAGAATGGACAAGACTACAACAAGGACCCGCATCATTCTATAGTACCAGGACCGTTTTCGGTACCCAAACAAGCGAACTTCCGCAAGGCGTACGAAAACATGGCCGAAAAAGGCATGACAACTGTTGGTGCTTTGCTAGAGAAACGCTATGATATGATCAAGGACCTAGTCAACTTTACATCCGATCTAGAAGAGGAGATTAACATCTTCGCCGAAGGTCCCCCATTAAACCTATCGGGAGCGGCGCGCACAGAGTGGTTTTCCAATCTTTATCAACATGTATGTGAAACTTATAATGCGTCTCCACAAACCGATCTTGAACGTTTTCAACTCATCCAGCAACAAGTGGGTGTACCACTAACTGCATTGCTTTCGATAATGAACGACTCTTCGTTACCTTGAAGAAAGTCAAGGAAAGAAACTGTGAAGACGAGACTAGGTAAGAATGATGTTGTGGATGTGTCAAAAACTAAGTAGTCTTTTTCAATATATAATACATGTAGGGTACATTCACTTTCTATCCCTTAAAGGATCGCTTTTTTTTTCAATTTTGTGCCCGCTTGGCTTCCAACTTTTTTACTTAATAATTTTTTGATTACTAGGGAAATATGGTACATAAACTAATTGTTGGTTCAGTCAAAACATAGATAATTCTTAAATCATAAACCTTGTTAGTAGTTGCTGCGGTGTGTTATTGCGACATTGTGGCAAGGGTAGTTTTGACATGATTGCTTGTTCGTTTACAAATTAAGCTAGTAAAATGAGAACATCAAGGAGAATAGGAATGGCACGGTAAAAAAAAACTCATGGGATACTATAAATTGTTCAGTAATAGCATTCAGAAAAAATGCAGACTTTATCAATTATTCCAGAATTATATTATCAATATCATCATATTTATCTTAGCTATAACGTATTCCTGGAAAAAAAATAGTCTATTTGTGGTACTATTTTCAGTTCTCTTGATTTCATTTACTTAGTTTAAATTGCTCAGTATATATATATATATATATATATACTAACCCAGGCTAAGTATATATGCATATAATAGGTGGTATTTTTCAAAAACAAAGTCAATAGTGTAGAGTAATAAGAAACGAGAGAATAATAAGATTCCGATAATATGTAGAGATCGATGTGGTAAAAAAAAAGGCTCTATTAAAATGACGACAGACACTATATCTTCATTTTAAAATATAAATTATTAAAGTTTATTAGATTGTGTAAGAAAGATGTAGGATAAAGCTGTATAGAGTACATTCAGATATATGCGCATGCTTATTTATGAATGCATTCTCTTTTCTTATTTATATTTTTATTGTTTCTGTAAAGTCTATGATTTTTATGAATGATGTAAATCTAAAAAATAAAGACATACAGTAAATAACCGAATTATAGCAATAAAAATGTAGCACTCTACACGGGTATGCCGTTTCATATGGGTTACGATTTTTATCCTACAGCCTTTTTATCCTTTTAAATTTCTTTGCACTTACATTGTTTCTCTGCTTATGTTTCCGCTATTCCTTGTATATAATGTTTTGGACACCATTGAAGGAAATTTAAAAAGAACACGAAGCAAACCCATTTCATTTCAACTATTTTGTGAGACACCACAACAGGTGCAGTGGAGCATCTGATTCTCCTTACCTTTCCTTTTTATAGTCTATGTTACTTCATCTTGAAGATGATGAAGTCATTAGACATGTTTCCCCTCTTTTTGGTTGCGTGCGTGTATTGTCTTGAAATCTTTTATTAGTATGGAATAATGAGTGAGAATGAGAAAATGTATGGGTCCAGTGAATAAAAAAGGAATATAGTATACACGTGTTCGAACGTTTACAATATTTCCTTTACTTTTCTTCTCAATGAAAGTGCTTATTCCAAACATTTTTTTATCACTTTTGTTTAATTGATGAACCTTGGTATACCCAGTTCTAGTCGGGGTTTTGGTGTAGAAAAAAAAATAAGAATTAATTATGTGATGTTCTCTTGTAATTTAGAAGTGTTTAATTATTATTATTATTATTATTATTATTATTATTATAGTACGAATAATAGAAATGAAGAACCATTTTTTGGTTGTCCTTTCCTCAAAATTTTGAAATTTAAACATCTTTTTTACTTCGCTCTTAAAACCTTGAAGGACATTTATTTTCTTTGTCTTTTCGAAGTCTTATCCAATTTAGGGACTTCCCTTACTTTTCCTTTCGCGTATCGCTTCACAGGATCTCTATCGAAGGAGGGGAAGGGTAATATAACGACTCACGTGTATGTCATCGAAACACGAACGCAATAGAAGATAAGCCGAGGTTTCTGATGAACTCGGAGCCTTTTCGTTTATTAGAGATTCTTCGTGAAGAGGATCTTGTGAAAGATGGGGATGTGGATGCGAATCTTCCAGAGGCCCCACTTGCGATTCCATCCCCGACTTCAGTCATAGTAGAGATCGGCCCCGACTCACGGCGCTACCGGTGCCCGATCTACATCCTCGAAGCCGGCTCCGTCCTTCTACCGAAGCTCTTGGCGGAACAGCTCAGCCAACCCGAGAAGGGGGTCGCCGTGGGAATAGAGGGGGAGGAGGGGAAAATGGCGGACGACCCTCTCATAGAACTCGGAGGGAACCCCGCCGAGGCCGCGTGGGAGTCCGTATCGCATCCTACCCTTCGGTTCCCCGATCTCCGCTCGGACTGCTTTGAGACGGTCGCGCTGTATTTGGAGCACTTCCACGGCGTCGCGGCAGGTGGAGGCCTTTCCCCGCGCGAGCGGCCCACCCTCCTAACCCCGCCGGGGACCCCCTCAGCACTTTACGGCCTCAGCGCGT